ATTAAGATTTAACTTAATGTAGATAATTACTGAGAAAATTAGATTTTTGTAGCGCAGTTTACACGAGATGAGATCACTTGGAATCACGTGATATGAAGCGGCGAATCAGGATGTTGAACCGTGAAAGCATAGTAAATTCTTAAATTAATGTCTTTTTACAAATTTATTGGCTTTTTACAAAATTTTAAACGATATTAAAATGTTTGTCTTCAAAATACAAAATTCTTAGAACTAACATTTGTTAGCATTTTTTATGTGTATACTGTATGTTGTCACCAATAAAGTCTGCTTGGCGAGATTTGCGCCGGCGAAACAGAAAAGTACCAATTAATTTTATAGAGAAAACTGAAGCATTTTTTGAGAATTTTGAATATTCTGAGACAGTTACATGGGAAAAATGCTTACTATGAAAAAATTAAAAAGACATTTATAATTAATTACATAGCTAATTTTGCTTTTGCTAAGAGCAGTTTCGTAAATTATGCTTTATATTGTTACGAAATGTATAGGCACGGTGAGAAAGCTTCCCCGCAAAGCAGTTTTAGGGTTGCCATAAAATGGCAAGGGACTTTGTCTTAGACTGTGCCGAGTCAATAGCTATAATCTTGTGTATCGTTGAGTGCATTGCATGGATAGTCTTGAGAGTACGTGGAGTTCTGAGAACGACCAAACAGAAACTGTGCTCTGGTGCTTTGCAGTGAAGCTATCTCCACCATTATTACCTGACAGTGTGAAGGTTGTGTCACTGATTGTTCCAGCGTGTTTATAGTAGATTTTCGACGACTATAAAAAGTGTTATTGGAGCTGTCCTGATTAATATTGACTAAATAAAGTGTGTTTCGATATTTCATTAAGTGTCGTCGTTATTCACTCCAAATCTATGAGCCCCTTACGAACGTGAAGGAAGAAAATAACGTAACAATATCATTATACCTTGTTTATTTTCCAGATTCAAAATATTGTATAATAAGTTGTCAAAATGAAACTTTATATGACAGCAAAAAATAAAAATGTTTTATTTTAATGTTATTTTTAAAATATAATTTCAATATGTTACCATTATTTTAATGAGATTTATCAATGTTATGGTGTTTTAAAAAATTGTCGAAATATTTTCTATAGAAACTGATCTTAAAATCGCCAAAATGTTGACAAATTTTCTATAGAAACTGATCTTAAAATTTCCAAAATGTTGACAAGTCACCAAATTTGGAAAAGAATTCACATCCCCAAAAGCGAAAACTTGTTTGCTTTTAAGAGCTCTTTATTAGAAAAAATAAATTTTGAAATGCTTATGTTTCACTTCTTGCTTTTTACTCGAGTATCCCATCATTTATATTAGAAATAGAAACAAATTATAACCCATGAACCCATTCAAAAGATAATCATATATGTCAGTGAATCGCCAAAAATATTCCTCCAAAATGCTAATTCACACTGAAAATGGCAGTCATAAAAACAGACAGAAATTTCAGATGATTAAATTTAAGGACCTTCTGCTGATTTTGGCCAAAATTAAGGACTTTTAAGGACCAAAAATCGATTCCAAAAATTTAAGGACCGTATGAACCCTGTTAGAATAATTTGAAGATGTAAGCTTAAATGAATTGTAGCAAAAAATGTGTGTAATCTAATAGGCCACACAAGTAAGACGTGGTGTCCATATCAGGTTTTTAATTGTTTAGTTGAAAACAAAGAATAAATGCATGAAAATATATTTATTTTAAAGATTTACAGATAATCAGATTAAATACATTTTTTACAAACATCAATAGGGCTGCAGATCTTACTTTATTAAAAAATTATCAAACAGTATTAGAACACTTTGAGCACTTAAATCACCTTGATAAGCATAAGTGTTTTTCCAGTACAAATATAAAAATAAAAAATTAATTTAATTAACAACATATAACCAGATTTTTAAGTTTTTGAATATGTTTCGTCAAATAATCAGTATAAATTATAAATCCTTGAATCATTTCTCTGTTATCCAAGCAATTTGTACATTTCAGAAGAGTATACAAAATTTATTTCCCTCTCACATAAACATACATATAAAAAAATTCAAAAATGAAATATTCAAGTGCATCTTTTAATTTGAAGGTATGTGGCACAAAAGAATTGTAAACAACATAAAGCCAGAAAGTATATACAGATCCAAAAGTGCCCGACTTATTTAAAAAATGATAACAAATATTTACACATACACACATGAAAGACAAATTATAGTACATAACTGGTATACATACAAAGAAAATGCGGTAAGTTAAATTATTAATGAAGATTACAGTACTGCTTATGTAAGAAAAAGGGAAATATTTCATATAAACTTTCTTCATTCACAGCCAGTATGACAATTCACAAAATATTTAAATAGACACCCAAAACGGAAAGGAAAAAAGTATGAACTCGCAAATAAAAAGTTTAATGCAGGTCAGAATAGAAGAATTTAAAAGCCAAGTGCAGGACAAAAACAAAAAGAAATTACGAAAGTATAAATGTTTAAGTAAACATCACACATTTAAAAAAAGGGAAGGGGGTTATCAAGTTTTTCTTTAAAAAAGAAAAGGCAAAGTAAAAACTTAGAGTTAACTGCTGTTGGCCCACATTTTACTACTGTTTTTTACCTTTTTTTTTTTTTTTTTGTTTAGTGTCTGGATCTGGGTGAGGGAAGCTCACATTAACAAATACTTCCAGTACTTACATCTGATACAAATCAACTCCTGATTAAATAGGGCTTTTTCAAATAAAAAACTAAGCTTGTTCATTGTGGAATGATAGACAAATTGTAATCGTAAAATATGTCCTCAGAAAATACAAAGGGGAAAAAAAAGAGAGTCGAATAACAGCAGTGATTAGCAGACTCTGTTGTATTTGGGAAATATTTGTAGCCACAACAGCACATCATTTCTATATAAGCATTGTTAAATCATGTAGAAACTATGATTATCAATAGTGCCATTTCATACTAATTCGCTTAATAAATATTGTTCATTATGTCATTTATAACTCAGTTCCTTCATTTCTAATGATGTTCGGCCTTCTAATATTTAACATGTATTCATTTCGTTTTGAATATTAATTCATGTAACCAACTTAACTTATTTTTCAGTTCTAAACGACTATGATTTTTTTTACTGCTCTTGAATTAATTGTGGACACTGTCTCCAATAAATCAGGAGATAACTATATACAAATAAGAGAAACACATTTGTAGATATTGTTACAGCAAATAAAACAGTTTTTTCTATCATTTTTATTAAATTTCAGAAAATATATATATTTTATCTCTCATACGCATGGTATAAAAATAATTATCTAAAAAACATGGTTAACAACTGTTTTTTATTTATTTATTTATTTTTTGTTTGAAGAAGGCAGTAGGGTGACAAAACGATGCATATGTCTATCACAGAATAACAATTTCCCAATAATTTTTTGAACATATTTCATTGAAATTGAGTATTGTTTGGATACTGTTTTGAGTAATTAAAAGTTTAATAAGACTGGAGGATGGGGGTGGCAATCTTCTAAACGAACGTAGCAACATTTAGATTCACACTTCTACAATTATTTTTTCTAAACATGTTAATATCATGTTTAGAAAGCCCATCCTGCATTAGGAGAAAATTGGCAAACATTTCACACTAAAGTAAGTTGGCAAGCTATCATATTTGAAATGCTCCATTTTATTAAAAAGTATTCAAATTTTGATATTTATCAATCAAAAAGAAGTATAAAAGTCTAGTTTTAATATGTAACTCCCCCTTCTCATTATTTCAAAAGAGGGTTCTAGAAAACCTTAAATGATATAGAGAGAGACAGACCTTATGTTGACAATAATAAATATTATCCATAGACCTTATATTTACAATAATAATTTTCAGATCTTGTGAATAACATATCCCACATTTAAAGAGATTTAACCTGAGAATGAATTAAGGCACTTAATATACCTGCAAGTCAACTTATTTAAATGATAAAAATATGCAGAAAGAACTGATTGCTTTAAAATAATGAATTACATTCAACTAACAATAAATATTTTAAAGTTGAAAATGATGGAAAGTAACAGAATCTAATTTGAACTTGTATATCCATCATTCATGGTTAATCTGCACTCAGTCATGTCACAATTACTCAGAAATATATTTTTTCAACGTTAATCAGATTATTTTTGAAGGAACAGTCTTCCCTTGCTTTTCATTTAAAAATGTTTTGACCCAGACAATAAAACAAAGTGGATGCAGCTCGATGCACAAAGATTCTTAGTACAGTCGAAAGTCGTTAATTCAGACACCCATAATTCGGAATGATCTATAATACGGACCTCAAAGCTAAAAACTTTCTGCGCATGCGCCGCGTTGACACATGCGCATAGGCAATTACGCGTGCACGTAAGACCTCTTACGACTGCGCATTTGCGTGTGCGCAAGCGCAGAATACATTTTCGCGTGAGCGTTTTATGTATAACGAACGGTATAAGCTAAAATTATCTATTTCAGTTAATGTTGATGATTGCGTTGTTCCTTAATTTTCGAATTGGATCCGGCTTATTATTTTTTGCAGACTGTAAGAGCAATACTATAAAAGTAAACTTGAACTTTCGATTATGTCAAATAGAATTTCCGATTCTGGAGCTCCCAAAGGATCGAACAAAACGAAAGTATGTTTTGATGTCCATCAAACAAAAAGTGGAATTGCTGCAAAAAGTGGATAAAGACATGAAGAATGTGACAGAGAGGTTAGTGAAAACGAAAAAATTTCGATTGGCTAGTCGATATTCTCGGCACAGCAATTAACGGGACTTGAACAGCGAAACTTTGTAAGTGAACAAAAAATTATGTCTGTTTATAGAATTAAAGAGAAAGTATTATCACATAAAACGAAGCAAACAACTTACATTGAAAGAAATGTTTAATAAAGTAAACAAATAAATATTAAGCTTTTTTTTTTTTTTTTTTAATTTTGATACCTTTTAGATCATAATTGTTCTTTATTTCATATTTTTAATTTTAGAATTTCTGCATGCCATCTTACGCGATTTAAACTGATGATCTATAATCCAGAATCACCGAAGTCCCGAAGAGTCCGAATTAACGACTTTTGACTGTATAGCAAATGTTAAGAAATTGTGAACAGGTATATTCTATTTGTATTACTTCGAGAAATTCATGTAGTTTATACCTTGTTTTAATGGCATCATTATTGTATCAGAGCAACATGATGCTGGAACATTTATAAGCCTGTAAGGTGCTAGGCAGTGATACTACAGGATTAGGAAGAACTTATAAAATGTTAAATATTTTATGTTATACACAACCAAAAAAAAAAAAAAAAACTTCTCATTTTACATAATGATTAAAATAAAAGGGGGTCTACTTCTGAATAACATGATTAGGCAAATGGCTCAATTTCTCCAACACTTGAGTGAACAAGTTATAAGAGCTCGAGTTAAGAACAAGAATAACCAGCATATTTTCTTTCACATTACTTGTTATTTGATAACTCAACATGTCTATATTTAACTCCTCTGTGGACAACAGAGTTTCACTTATGTATAACTATGGTGACAGTATATCACATCTGCAATGGATTAAAGTATTCTGAAAATTTATACATTTTTAAAAAAGAATTTGAAATTACAATGTTTTCAACTTGATTTTAAAAGAAAAATGTTTAAAGATGCTCATTTTCATAAATTTTATTTGTAAACACTTCTTTATGGAAATTTTAGCCCTATTATCTAGCATATCTCTGTCCCTGCATTCAATTACCAGGACTGCATATATTATAATTATTTGCATATATTTAGGAACCTTCAATATATAACAGCACAGATATGGATGCATAGGAAAATAAAATGGATGAGTAAAAAGTACAGCAAATCATAATTGTAAGTTAGTCTTTCAAATATAAAAATACAATAATATTAGTATACCTCTTCATATCACCTTTTTTTAAAAAAATTTTTTGACTTCTGTCTTCAGATATAATTAATGTACACTGTGTAATTTTCTCCTCTTGATTTCCAAGATGTACAATTATTAATAAGGGAGACATAGTCTTTCCCCCTCATTCTCTTTAAATAACACACATATAATAAGAAATTATATTCACTGAATTAAATTTGAAAATTCCATTAAAATAAAATACTTATTATATTTTGAAAATGCAAAATATTTATACAAATAAACATAAAATTTTATAAAACATTTATACAATGTTTCAGTTTTAATTATTATGACTCACAAATCTGATAAATTGTCATCAAACAGTCTCAATGTTTGCATATATTTATTTATATACTTTGTCATTTTAAGCTTTTATCATTATTACATATGTACATAATTTATTAATTTACATTTTAATTCTGTTCATAAAATAATAACTAATTAGAGCTTATCAGGCAGCGTCCTGACCAAAAGCTTAACTTAGTGAATATTTTGTTAAAGTGTCACTAAACTCACTTAAAACTTTCTCCATACGTTTGTCTTCCCACTGTAATTCATTTACACATTTTAAACATAACTGAAGCTGCTGAACATTAAATATGTTTCTTTTGAGCAAATCATCAAAGATTTGCAAGTATGCTGCCCAACTGATTTCCAAGGATTTACTAGTTAACAGAAATTTTATATTTTTAGGACATAAAAATAGTTTTTCACATAAAACATTTTCAGGCAATTTTAACCACAATGAAACAAAATTTTGCAAAATGTTACTGCAACAGAGTACAGGAGCATGTACAACTACAGCTATATACAAATCAACTGTCAATAAAAGAATCTTTTTTAGAATAGTATTCACCTTCTCATCTGTAATAAGAGTTGCAATTTTCAAAGTTACAGATGTAAGTACATCAACAGTCAAGCTTTCTGATTTAGAATGCACATCTAAAATTGTCTTTCTTAGAAACTGAATCCAGTAACTTAGATCAATACTTTTATCTGCTTTGCTTTCAACTTCACCTCTCTTTAAATGAAATAATTTGTTCTTAATATCAGACTTTATTGGGTCGAGCAATAAGTTGGAATCAATCCAATCTGCAGTTTTGTCAGCTGCAAGTCGATATGCAACTTTGCTGCACATATCCAACACAACTGGCTTCGTATCATCAGATAACAACAGCGGCAGAGTATTTTCAATATTTTTGTGAATGGCTTTTAGAAAATCTTGTAACTTAGTCTGAAAGTCGTTATAAACATGCAGCACGTTATCATCAATTACTGCATCAATCTGAATTTTGTTTAAAGCATTAGAAGCATACATAGATGAAAATTGTTTATCACTCATAATATTTTTCACAACAGTCAGTTTCAATTCTGTAACTTCAGAACGTATTTTGCCTATAGTCTTTGATGCCATTCTGTCTGCAACAAATTCCGTAGTCTTTTTAACAGAAGGCGGATGATAGGAAAAGAAGTTATCTTCAAGCTGAATATTAAGTTGTTTCTTAATGACTGAAGCTGAACTTGTTTTCTCGATTTTGGTTGATAAGGGTGTGATTTTACGTATTTCTCCGTTTCTGTTTTTGATACCATTCAAAAAGTTATAGATTAGAACTCTAAATTCAATCAAATATGGACAACAGGAACGTATAAGTTGTTTGTCAACAACTGCCAAGAAATCTATACCACAACTTTGTAAATTCTTATGGTATTCAAAAGATTCCGGTTTAATTAACAATTCATACTTTTTAGGATACTCCAAAACATCGAACAGCCATCCAATAATGAGCCTAACAAATAAAATGCTCTCTGTAGGTATAGCTTTAAAATCTTCCCATCGATAGATATCTGTTAAAATTTGTAAAGTTTTTATATAGTGTTCAATATTTAACGCTATAGGATCCATCATACTCAAAAATTCAATAACCCAAGGAACGGTCAAAATAATCTTATTATTTTTAACAGATTCTATAAGTAATTCTGCTACATCCAAAGGAGGCTTATGATATTTACGAGTAGCAAGCTGACTATACACAACATTACTAGGTAAAGTATCAGTCACTTTGTAAGGTGAGAAATGTAAATACCCGAGAAATTTACCAAGCAAACGCATCGTGTGCATTAAAAGTCTATATTTCTCTTTTATAGCCAGTAAGGAAGTCACATCAGCATCTAAAGAAATATCTACATTATTTAAATCTAATAGATTACTTACAAGAATATTTGTTAAATGTTGGTTCAGGCACGCAGAACCAGCAGCATTTAGTAATTCATAAAAAAATGACTGAATTCCATAAAATGTAGGGGATGGATTGAGTCCACCACTGCAAAATGGCATTAAAAACCTTTCTTGCAATTTTTCAAATTTGCCAGGAAAATTCCTCTGAATATCACGTAGTAATTCATCTTTAACCTCACTGACTTCAAGATATAAACAACTAGCAATCAGTTGTGAATGGAATAATTTAGCTAAGTGGTACAAATTTACAGTATTTGGTCCAAGATTCACAAGAAGCTTCGCCTTCCGTGAAAATTTTTCATAGAATTTAGAATCGACATATTCCATCGACTTCTGCTGCCATTCCTGCAGTAATTCATAAAATAAATCTCTCTGCTTTCTAAAACTGACAAAAGTATTATCATTTATAAAATTCGATCGGCTGTCTTCTTCTGCCTGAAAGGCTACACTGTTTATCGAATTCAATGAGGCTACTGTTTCTTGTTTTGCCAAACTATGACTGAATTCACCAACATCTAAATACACCTGCAGAAAGTTAACAAGCTGTGGAGAAAATGTAAATAAATATGGAATTTCGGACAAAGAGGATAATGTTGCATTATCTAAAACTTGTAGTAAATAACAATGTTTACTCAAGATGGAAACAGCAAAGTAAACACAGTTATGGACTGAAGAAAGAATATCATCTTCAGAAGGCTTACCTTCAATGCTGACTCTAGCAGTGACTAGTTCAAACAAAAAATATAACTCTGATGTTATATTCGATACTAATGCATTACTCATTAAAAACCCATATATTTCTGCAATAATTAATATTTGCTCCTGAAAATATATGTTCTCAGGATTTGGAACTATATACTCAACGTTTACAGGCTGCATTACACTTTTTTTAATAGCAGTGTTAGAAGATACACTAGGAGGTTTTGACATTACACTTCTTGTGTATTTCAGCATGTCTCTCTCTTCTTGTAAGGTTGAATATGATTGTTCTTGTTGTGGCATCATTTTAAACACATCACTCTGAACCTTCTCCATTGGAGCTGAGAAGCAAGAATGCCCAAATCTTAAGGAACTATTATCAGAAGCCTGAATCGGTGTTGGTGTTATTCTCCGCCGTGCTCTGGTATGATCAATGTTTCCACTTACTGGTGGAAAAGCTTCAACACTGTTAATGTCAGGGATCTGTGGATTAGTTTTTGTTTTATGAAAAGAACTTATAAAATCTTTCTGCTTATGCAAATATGGAGCACAACCTAAATTCATGTTCTGTGGTATTTTGTGAAAGTTCCTAGACTGTTTAAATGTATCATGGCAACTGGTCACTGATTTCACGCGGGAATATCCATTTTGATGAATAGTTGTTGGTTTTGCTTGAGAATATTCATTTTTATGAATAATCGTTGATTTTGCTTGGGAATATCCATTTTGGTGTACAGCCATTGATTTCGGTTGAGAATATCCATTTTGATAAACAACCGTTGGTTTGGTTTTGATCCCATCAGTGTTATAAATCTGTTCATTATTTCTAGCACCTACACCTAATTCCCTAAATTTTGGGTATTGATAATTCACATTTTCTTTTGCATGGTCCTTGTTTACTTTCGATGTAGTATCAGGAAAACGGCTATTAACAATTTTTTGAATAGCTACTGAATCATCTTTTCCGCTCTTTAGCACCTGGGAACATTTATCTTTGACGTAATTTAAAAAGAAAGGAATAAATTCAGAATTTCCGACTAACCTAAGTTTTTCAATATCCGACTTGTCGTATTTTAACCACTCTATAAAATCGTTCAAACATATTTCGCCCGTTACAACGTCTTTCAAAATATCTGCCATTTTAATTCTGGAAACTACTAACTGAATCATCTCCTTTTAAAGTAAATAAAGTAAAATAGCACATAATATCACAAATACATAGCAGCAACACTCCCTACATCAAAACAAATAATCCAAATTTAAAAAAGATACGGAGCCTGTTGCCAGATGTCTTAACTTCAGTTTCTTTATTTATTTTAGCTTGCAGCGGGGGAGGGGGAATTTCATTTTCTTTTAACAATCTAAAAGGTTTCATTAAATTTAAACACGGCATATCACAATAGTAACAGCACTACATACAATGATAATTTTATAAAACGATCGAGTTTTCGCGTTCAACTGAAATACTATACAATACTGTTCAGGCTTGCCAGAAATAATTTCAAGCGCTGTCAGAATACCACGTGATCGGAAATTCGCACCTGAACAGTGTTGCCAGACATGCGATTTTTCGCAAATTTGCGAAACTTTAGACAATTCTTTGGGACTTTATGTGCTGCAATTTTGCGAAATTTTTGCTACTCTATCATTTCCTTGTGCTACTTTTTACGAAATCAGATATTTTCAATAGATCGTAAAAAGCTTATGTGCTAAAATAATGTATCTAATAAAAACAATTTATATTAAATAAATAAAGTTATTTAGGATAAATTACTTTTTTATATATAAAAAAGGGCAAATTTTTATATATATATCTATATATAAAAAAAAAAAAAAAAAAAGTTCCGGGTCGGTGCACTTTAAACTTTTGTCTATCTTACTCTTTGATTTTACGAAACGATATTTCAATAGTATCGTAAAGCTCTGTGAAAATAATGTATCCATTAAACAATTTATAAATAAATACAAGGCTTAGGATTACCTCAAAGTAGTTTTTATATATAAAAACCAAAAAATATACATATCTCGATATATAAAAAACCGTGTAAATGAACCATATTTAGGATTAAATTATCTTTATTTACCGCCGAACAAGGAGTATTTGTGCCAGGCAAGAATATCAGCATAATATTGAAATTTTCAAAATAATTCCACGGTAAAATTGATTCTTGCATTAGGTCTCGAGGTGTTGTCACAACATCTAGAAACATTTCGAAGAACAAAGGTGTTGGTAAACCGTGTGCCTATAATAATGTTGTAAACCATTGTTATAGTGTAAATAAATTTGTGTATTAATGCGAAGCGAGCCATCACTTACATCCGGATCTCTAATGCTCTCTGAGTGTAATGAAAATAGTTACTACACCTGGTTTACGCAACATCATCTTAGTGCAGGGGCGCCAGGAAAATAGATAGGGGCGCAGGGGCTCTCAAATCGCCACCGAGGTGCGAATAGCTAATTAGGCATTCACACCACCTCACGTTCGCGCATGGCACATCAGCCCAGGTACCAGCATTATACCCGATTTCCGCTAAAGCAGGCGGTAGCGGCTGGAGCGAAGGTGACTAACCTAACTCAGCAATAGAAAGGCTTGCTATAGCTCACCCGCAAATAAAATTTGCAAAATTATCAGTTCAAAGACAGGTCAATCTATATCTTAAGATAGGTTCAGGATTAGATTTAAAATAGGTTTAATGATGGTTTCTAATTGACCCAGGACGTGTTGACTAGCTAAAATTTAATGTGCAACAAAAAGTTACAACAATCACCTTAATGCATTAGTTAAAAAGAAACCTTCTGAACATTATTATCATGCTTTATGTCAGAATTTATCTCTCAATTAAGAAAACATGAATTATGATGTTTACTTCCTCCTATTTCAAACACCAGATTAAGTTGATTTTAAAAAAACCGGTACTTATCTATAAAACTTGTTTTCTGTCAAATTTTTGTTGCCAAATTTTTAAATTCTAAATCACCTTTACATCTCATTATTCGTTTTTAAATTGCATCCCATTATATTTTAATTTATTCATTAATGTTTTGCATTAATATTTCAAAGTTTTTGAAAATTTTTGTGTTCTCAAGGCCAAGCATTTTCTAAAAAATAAAAGGTTACAAAATTGTTATAACCATATTATATGATTAATGTTTATTAATAGTTGATTAATCGCATTAAATTATTTCATGTCTAAATTTTCTACACACAAATTATCTGTCTAATTTTTATTATCTTTTCTGAGATGAAAATTTTCAAAGGGGAATGAATTAAGTTGATTGTGCAAAACACATCTTTAAGCTGAATGATGTGTTTTGCACAATCAAGACACAAATAAATAAATAAATAAATAAAAATAAAAATAAACAAGATTTGCCCCCCAAAATCAGTCATTTAAACTATTCCAACCGTTCAGGAAAACGATAAACATTGCGAACATAAAAATCTGCCCTTTTTTATATATACTTTAATAAAAGGAAATGTGTTCCTTTTTTTATATATATAAGAGAAGGAACCCATTTTCCTTTCTAGGGCCGTATCCTCCTTGCGTGCGACGAGATCTCGATACGAGAGTGACGTCACATATGACGGATTTTTCGTGCGGAGCGACAATTTGCATCCTCGAGCACGATCAAACCACTGTCGTGCGTGTAGATCGTCGTTTTTTCGGCTGCTTATGTGCAACCGTTTAAAAATCTTGCGATCGAAATGTAATGGCGTCGGATGAATGTTTAACGAAGTGTCTTTCAAACTGAATACATCATCGTAATTCAATTCAAAAAAGTATGTTCCGAAGTAGACTGGATTCGAAGACTTACCTTTTACTGGATTGCCGCCTGAGCTAAGAGTAAGTTACTTTGAATTGTTGAAATTTCAGTCTAAAATTGTAAATAACTTAATCAATTATTCTATAATTTATGTTTATATATTCTACATGGGTAGTGATTTCTGTTATACTGATCAATTTCACTTGTAGAAACATTTTTATGAATCGTCTATACTTTCTGAAGAATTTTCTTTAATAATATTTTATGTATCACGTGAAACATTCGAAAAATTTAATTGGAATAAGTTCGAATTGTATAATAGTAAACAGAGAAAATTATTAGCTAAATTTCTCTCTGGTTTTCATAATAAATTACATCTTTGGTGCATAAAATTTTCATTTGTGTTGTCTTGTCAAAAATCAAGATCTGAAAAAGATAACTAGTTGAATTCATTTGCAGTATTATTTAGAAACGAATTACAATGTTTGTTGGGATTTTAGATTTTGTTATTCTTGAAGTCATCTGTTAATATTTATCTAATTATAGTGCTTAAAAATTCATGTGAAAAGGGATTGTAATTTTTTACCTATTGATGTAGAATACCCTGTTTCTTCTTATGAAGGATATATTGGTATGAAATTCTTTGAAAATAGAGTATTCTTTAATCCATTTTACTTTACCAGTATATTATTATGCTATTTTAGAAGCATCATGTAAAAATATTGCAAGTTTCTCATGTGATAGATTAATACAGTTTACAAAACCAATCAGTAGGTGTTACATTTTAATCTCTTTCGGATCTTGATTTTTGACACCACAAATGAGAAGGTTATGTTAATAAATTTTTATGAGATTGTGCTCATAATTGTTACGTATATGTAAAACTATAAAATTGTGTATTGAGAATTTTCTGAAGTAGGATTAGTTTCGAATAATAACTCAGCTTTCATAATGTTATAAAAATGTATCTTTCCATAAATTTGAAATGATATTTGTATAATGCTTATGTAATTTATTTTCTTAGTAAACCAAAAGATTTTAACTAACACTCCTCAATAATTTTATATTGCAGAATATTATTTCATATTAAGTCGATTATTATCATTTAGCTAATAAGTTTCAAAATACATTTAAAATTTATCAAACATATGTATTTCTAAAATCCTGATAAACATTACATTTCCTGTTATTGATAGCATATATTTCCTGTATTCTTGTTTAAGTCTTTAGATAGGATCTCTATGCACAACAGTAATATTTTGCAGGTTTCTGATTATAATATGAAGATCTTGGCAATAAATGCAAAATGTTCTTGTTGTATTAATGACACGTTGATATGGAACGACGAACCAATGATGAACATTTGGTTGTACTTCGTGAGTGGGTGTTATCAGAGTCTACGGTAATGTCGGACTGTTGAAAGTTGTATGACGGCCTCTCGGCTTTGTGTACATATGTTTTACAGTCTGACATTCGAGGATCCTGACACATGTGCTGATACAAATGTCATAAAAGTGATACGGTAGGCTTTAAAGCGCTTTCTCAGAAATAATACCACTACGGTGGAGAGGGAGATCGATTTATACCTAATGGCCCTATCACTTCTATGGACGCGCGCGCTTACCCGGGACAATTCCGAGAAACGATATTCTAGTAGCACGGCTTTAAGCGGCAGGCTTCCGAGAAGTGTTTCGTCTAGCTAGGAGGAACATGTCCCGGCTACGAGCAACATTTTAAAACTCCTCCGAAAATGTTCCGGCTGGAGACGTATTCCTCGAACGTTCAACCAATCAGCCGAAAGTTCTGCTTCTGAAGGATCACGGGAAACATTCAATATGGCGATGGCTCCCACTGTGAAGTCATGGACGGTGGAAATCGAGGCCGATTTAATTATTGCTGTTTTATTGTAATACAACTGCCTGAGTCATTTTTTAAATGTGTATATATTCATTAAATATATAATCGTGGAAATTTCAGAGTTTACGTATTTTACGACGTTTTTGCACTTCGGATTTGTTTACAATTGTTTTTCGCCAAACGTTCGCCAAATTTTGTCGTATTTCGTGCTGGTCGTGTATTATCACTGTTATATAATAGAATTTTATTTCTTAATTTAAGTTGAATAAATTTTTTAAATCCGTTTTTGTATGTGCGCGGCTTTCCCCTAATTACTTATCTTTAAATGTTAATTGCATAATCAGTGACACATTTTAAAACAGCATAAAAGTGCATAAAAAAAGAAAGATAGCTTATGTAATAATGAGAATACTCATTAAATTGTCTATTATTTTCATGTTATTAATGAATACTTTTTTAATTATAAATAGATTAGATACTATACTTTATTGTAAATGCTACATATTGAAACATTGGAAGTTTATGGATTTTATTATTATGCATGATGAAAAACATTGTATATACATTCATTAATATAAATCTTTATTCTACATTAATACTAATAAATATATATTAACAACTTTTAAACCATCGCATCTCTCTATCTGTATGTAAATATATGACTTTTAGATGTGTATATATATGTATGTATAAATACAAAAATGAACATTGCCAAAAAGTTTATTTGAAGTTACTTTTAATTCAGATAACGATTATGTAATTGGCAGCAACTATAGTTATCAGTTCTTTGCAAATTATTATGGGTTGTAAAATCAGTTTTGA